AGCCCTCAGGGGTGCCATCTTCTGCCATGGAACAGCATTGTTCTTGTTTGACTCTTAATAATAAAGATTAGGAGGGGCTGGGACCGTAAGTCTGTGGTAGAGCAGTTGCCTAGCACACGGGAAGCCCTGAGCAGACTTCCATCTCTGACACAAATGAATGGATAAAAAAAAAACTGCAGGAATAAGACAAGATACTCCCCACCACCATTGCTAAGAGTCAGGTAGATGTTTTGGTCTTGCTTCTCAGACACGGCTCTCTTAGCGGGCTTTGTGGCACCTGCTCCATCAAAGTCTCTTAAAAGGATGCCAAGGAGGCGCCAAGGTGATTTACTATGTTCTCTACATAGTTTTGGATGTGCCTGCACAGGTGCGATGACTATAGTTTTCCCGCCCAGCTCACTCACGGATACTCCAGGTGTCTTCATCAGTGAGTATCTGGCTGTGTTTGCTCAGGAGGCTGAGCTCCTACACACTGCTCTGACCTGTAGATCTCATTTCTTCTCACACTGACGATGAGAATCATCCTTTTGGTAAAATGGGGTTGGGCTGAGTTTTAGTACGAGATTGAAATCCAGAAATCCACATGAAAAATGAATTTATTATTATTACATAAAACTGTTTTTTAAAGTAAAGTGAGTCTGCGGATGAGCATGGTTGGCACGGTGCTTGCCTGGCAGGCGTGAAGCCCTGGGTTCTGCCCCCAGCACCTCATGAAGCAGGAGTGGAAACAGGCGAATCTACAATGGCTGAAATGTTCAACATCCCTAGCCATCAGAGAAATGCAAATCAAAACAACTCTGAGATTCCATCTTAAACCTGTAAGAAGAGTTAATACAAAAAACACTGATGACAACTTATGCTGGAGAGGATGTGGGGTAAAGGGAACACTTCTGCATTGCTGGTGGGAGTGCAAGCTGGTACAACCGCTTGGGAAATCAGTATGGCGATGGATTTCTCAGAAAATTAGGAAACAACCTTCCTCTAGACCCAGCAATACCGCTTTTGGGTATATACCCAAAGGATGCTCAATCGTGCCACAAGGACATGTGCTCAACTATATTCATAGCAGCATTATTTGTCATAGTCAGAACTTGGAAACAACCTAAATGTCCCTCGACAAAAGAATGAATAAAGAAAATGTGGTACATTTACACAATGGAGTACTACTCAGTGGTAAAAATCAACGACAACTTGCAAGCAAATGGATGGAACTAGGAAAAAAAACATCTTTAGTGAGGTAACCCAGACACAGAAAGACAAATATAATATTTATTCACTTATAAGTGGCTTTTAGACATAAAACAAAGAAAACCAGCCTACAATTCACACCCCCAGAGAACCTAGACAACAAAGAGGGCCCTAAGAGAGACATACATGGATCTGATCTACGTGGGAAGTAGAAAAAGGCAAGATCTCCTGAGTAAATTAGGAGTGTGGGGATTATGGCAGAGAGTAGAAGAGGAGGGGGGACGGAGGGAGAGGGCAGAGAAAAATATGTAGCTCAATAAAAACAATAAAAAATTTTATTATACCAAATTAAAAAAAAACAAAAAACAAACAATAACAACAATAAACAGGAGTGGAGGCACCCATTTGTAATTCTACTACTTGGGAGGTGGACGCAGGAGGATCAGAATTTCAAGATCATCATCAGCTACATGGTGAGTTTGAGGTCAGTCTGGGCTACATGAGACTCTGTTTCAAAAAAAAGTAAAATTACTAGACTGGCCTTGTATCCCAGGCGATGACTTGTGTGAGCATTCTTCCTGTCTAGCAAGATGCTGTCCGAGCTCTGTGCAGCGGAGGTCATCATCCCTTTAGATGGGATGCCCAGAGGTGCTGCCCAGTGCAAAGCAGAGGGTGGACACTCAGTCTCCCGAGCAAGCGCAGTACATCACTCACTCACTGACAAGGACCAGTTTCCTGACAGGGACCATGTGAAACTTACAGTGCCTCACCTCCCAAGGACACCTCGGCTCCACACACCAGGCCATTCTCTGATAGCTCTGCCCTGAGTGGTTTCTTTAGAGGAAGACCTTGTCACTGCCCTCAGTTTGGAGTGGTTGCCTCTTGAACTTGTGATTTGATTACCCATCATGTTGTTGGCTTCTGGTCATGATGAAGCTCATCTCCTGGGTAATATGGGGTATGACTGAACCTTAGAGCAAGAGGCCAATTTGAACACAAATGAAAACAGTGATCCTGAGACTTGAAGACATTGGTACCATTGACTGGGTTGTCAGGGTAACACGTTTGGATGGACGCTGTGAGAACTGGAACATTTACCTCTATTAGTTTCTTTCAGTAAATTTGTAAAATTTAGGTGGCAATGCCCAATTTGTAGGATAATTTTTTTAGGATTACATATGAAAGCAATGGTTGTCAAAAAAAAAACATTATGGAAACACAGTGCTTGGTCTGGAATAAACCTTCAGGAATGTTACTTCTGGTTTTCAATCAGACAGGAATTACTATGGCCATTGGCAAGGTTATTGAAGTCATTAGAATGCCTTTTTTTTTCAGGACTTGTGTGCAAGCAAAACAGAATCCATGTGAATGACTGAATGGGGTTGGAGAAGACAAAAATCCAAGAAAGAAAGGGCAAGATGGGGTGCATAAGGGGCACAAAACCCCGAGTTTCGTCTGGTTTCTGACTTGTCATGGGATCTTAGGCAACTCCTTTAAACACATGGAAATTTCTAAAGAGAAATCATACCTGCACAATGGTGCTGCTGGCTCATGAGAAGAGCAACCCCAGGGCTCATCCCAGCCATCCAGTGAATTGCCACCTCTGTCATGGGCCTCACAGTGAAGAAGAGCAATAGGGAAGGGTGTTTATTTCTCTTTTTCTCACTGAGGCAATCTCAAACTTGAAACTTATAGACCAAGTTTTAGGGGTACTGGAATTGATCAACCTTCCCACTGTCCGGTAGATAAGTGGACAGTCTGGTCTGTCGGGTGGAGAGATAAGGGCCAAGACCGTTACTCTGAAATCAGGCCAGGAAATGGCCTCTCAGCTTCTTCTCTAATTATAGGTCCCTTGGGAGAGCAGAGGAAGTCAAGGCTTGCATAGCCCATCTTGCCCTCTAGATGATTTGTGTCTGCTTCTTTGGAGGTGTGGGCCAGTGTACACATAGCAAGTATGCACTATCCAATAGAACACCCCTAAACTGCATCAACCTCACTTCCAACAATCCACAAGCTCTTGGCAGGAAGATGTGGCAAAGCCAGGTCTAAACACCCACTCTTTGCTCTTCGGGCAACAGTGAACGAACTGGAACTTGATTATTTAAATAAAATTAGTCATTGTGAAAATATTTGCATTTAGTTTGATTTTAAGAAAATTTGCATTAAAATATTACTTATGCTTAATACTGAAATTTTAAGTGTCTTCTTAAATTTGTGGTCTGAGATGAGCATTTCATCCCTTGATCCTACTCCTAACCCTGTTAGTGACAGAGGGCTGGGAGGAGGTAGATGGTGAGGGTGGGGAGGGCAATGAGGTCTCCATGTTGACCGGAAGACCTAACATGAGGGGTTTCATCCCAGTTCCTGCTTCTTTGCCAGTCCTAGAGATGTGTTTAGAGGTTGGGATGAAATGATGTCGTCTAGGCCAGTGGTCTCTAAATGATCCAGAGGACATTAGGAAATGAAACGTGTGGAAATGGTTTTGATGGTTGCCTACTCAGTGTGTGTGTGTGTGTGTGTGTGTGTGTGTGTGTGTGTGTGTGTGTGACATCAGACATCTCAAGGATACAGACAAATAGTGCTATTAAACTTTAGATAATGCATAGGGCAGACCCCACAACTAATACATGGTCCTACATATTAAGAAGATAAATGTTGAGAAACTTGATGCAGGTTCATAGTACAGAAGACACCACATAAATATTGAAGATGAAAACAGCAAAGGGCCTGGTTTCTGAAGGGGGAAGGAGGGAGGAGTGTAAGGGAAGGAGAGAGAGAGAATGTGGGACTATTTAGGACTTAGAAATCCCTGCCTCTTGATTTCTTATGAGTCTTAGTTAGGGTTTTTATTGTTATGGTGGAACACCATAATCCAAAGTAACTCAGAGAGGAAACTGTACACTTCCATATAACTGTTCATCATCAAAAAAGTTTAGGCAGGAACTCAAAACGGGACAGGAACCTGGAGGAAGGAGCTGATACAGAGGCCAAGGAGGGATGCTGCTTACTGGCTTGCTCATTATGGTTTGCTCAGCCTCCTTTCTTATAGGACCTAGGACCAGCAGCCCAGAGATGGCAGCACCCACAATAGGCTGGACCCTCTCCTATCAATTACTAAGAAAATGCTTGCCTACAGCCTGATCTTATGCTTTTGTCAGTTGAAGGTCCCTCCTTTCAGATGATGCTTTTGCCAAGTTGACATAAAAATAGTCAGGGCATCGTATAAGTTTGGTGAGCTTTCCTTCTCTGGAGCCTATTGCTTACATCTGTGAAGCAGGGAAATCCTACAGTCTCAGTGGAGGTGGGTGAAAGTGGGGATCAGGGGTGTGCTGTCTATGAAGCATCGTGGGGATGCTGAGGCTTACCTCCTGTCTTCCTCCTTCCCTTCAAAGTTCCTAGTTGCTCCCTGGGATCTGCACATCACTTCCTAGAATCATCACTTTGGAAAGCTGCTTCTAAATTAAGGGGTATAATTCAGGCTGGGCACTAAATAATACTAATTACATCATGGTGTTATACATGCCACTCAAATAAACTGGCGCAGACAGGCTTCTACTTAGGGCAGCAAGCCCCAGACAGCAGGACTCTGCTGTGTTAATAGAGAGCAGGGTCTGGGGTGAACAAAACTGAACAAATTTTTATCAGTTCCATTATCCCCAAGCCTGGCCTGGAGCAATCACCGTGGCCCTTTCCACTTCCCCAAAAAGTGTATAAGGCTGACTGTGCAGCAGTAGCCACACAGCCACTGAGCGTGGAGACTGCAGACTCTCACACTGTGAGTGCTGTGCTGGCCAGGATCAGGGAGGAGGCAGAAGGACACAGCAAGCAAACAGTCGGGGAGCCTGCTCTTAGGGTCACCACAGTTGCCATAATTGCCTCCTCTTTCCCAAAATAAGTGAAGTCAGTTCTGACTGGGGGCTGTTCTGTCACTGCAGGTCAGGAATCTGGCTGTTCTGGGTAGAGAACAGCCATGGAGATCTTAGAAGGGGTTTCTGCAGCTCAGTTGCCCATCCTGTCCATCCCCTGACTCCTGTTTCAGATTTTTTCAGCTCAGGGAAGAAGAGGGAAAGGAGGAAGAGGAGCTCTCTGACTCTCCCTTAATCAGGTAATTAAATGACAAGTATCATGTCTTGCAACAGAAGCTGTGTTGGACACAGACTGGACAGTTGTGAGTACAAAGGCAGAACTGCCTCTACTACAAGATCAAGCAGACATGAAACAGCCCCTGATCCTGTCCCTTCTCCTGCTGGGGACAGTTTCTGCTTCTTATCTGGGTAAGTCCTTCCCTTTTATTCTCATTGATCATTCTCCCTTCCCCTCTCTCCCACCCTTTTGGTTGTTGTTGCTGTTGCCATAGGGCCAGGGTCACAGAGTGTTCTTTTAGGTTGTTCACACATCTCTGGTTAGCTATCTCCCAGACCCAGAACTGGTTCCTTCAGAACAAAGCAAAAACAAAGCAACTATAGTATAAGATGAAGGGCCAGTGATCATTTCAGGCTTCTCACACAAGGTCTTTCCAACCAGTCAGAGTTCAGGCTATTGTTCGTCTATGAATCTGGAGTGAGACATCTCTTTTCACCCAATCTAGAGGAGTTCCTTTTTAGTATGTGGCTCCAGATTTGGACTCAGGAAAGCTCAAGTGGATGGCTAGAGCTGTCCTAGGTGCTGGAGGAAGAGGGAGTCTGATGTGGTGACAGGTTACCATCTTCTTCCTAGGGACCACTCGCCACCATCAGGAGAGCCCAAAGAGAGAACCAGACCTGTGGCAGGATGCAGATGGTTCAAGGGATCAGGGAAGAGATTTGGCTTTGACCCAAAAGACAATATTGACAGAGGGCGAGGAGACTGAGGGTTCCAAACATCAAGACAACTTTGAGGATGAGAAGGCTGACCCAGATGCCTTAGACAAGGACTCAACATGCCCCAGAGAAGAGGACATAGTTCATTTGCAAGGAACTCCTGGGTGCAAGAGCTGCCGCTACATGCTGGTGAGGACTCCCAAGTCTTTTGATAAAGCTCAGGTAAGTGATAGGAAGACATGGTGAAAAGGTCAAGGGGAGGGAAAGGCACTGCGTTAAAACTTCTGTTCTGTATTCATTTAGACTGGTGTTTCCCAAAGCTGCAGAACTGCCTGGAGGTTTTGTTAATATATAGAATTTACAGCTCCATCTTCACAGTCTTTGAATCAGGAAGCTGGGCGCGGGGCAGGGAATGTCTCAGGGAATAAAAATCTTCTTGGTCTGAGGACTGCAACTTTAAAACCAATGATCTGCATTAGAACACTTTGGTCAGAGAGATTTTTGCATTTCATGGAAGAGGAGGTGGAAAATGTGTAAGAGAAAGATGCTGGGGGTGGGGATTGGGGTGAAGTGAAGCAGTGTCTCCTAGACATGACCGAGATGTTGCATTTGTGAGCCCAGAGCAGTTTCGATTGCCTGTGCAAGACAGGATCAAGCCAGTCAACATTGCATTGTGGGTGTCCAGGGGTCCACAAGCACCACCCTTAGGTGACGAGCTATTGGCAATTGATGACCGCTAAGGCAGAGAAAGTCAGTTTTCGTTAGGGTATGGCCACTGGTAGGTTGACTGTGGTCTTGCATGTAGAGGCAGCCATTAATTAACCTCAGTAGGTCGTATATTTACTAAAAAGAGGCTATGAGGTTGGAAAGATGTGTGTGTGTGTGTGTGTGTGTGTGTGTGTGTGAGATTCAGGAGGAGCTAGAGGAGGAAGTGGGGAGATGAATATGATCAAAACACATTATATGCATGTATGAGAACCTCAGGGTAAATAGAATATTGTATTAAAACCAGATAGAGCATTAGAAAATAGCTCCTATAAGAGGGAAGAGTCAAAATGACAGATATACCCTTCTGTGCCTCACTCAGATCTGCCGTGTGTGCGTGTCTAACTGTGTGTGAGCATGCATGTGCATGCTAACTAGGAAGTCTCAAGATCTGACAACCACGCTGGATGAATTTTAAAAGAGTAATCTTACCCCCAACAAAGAAAAGAAAAGAAACCATTGTGCTAAACACTCCCTTCCTTGATTGACAATTGGTTGTTTTGTGGGTGACTCTCGTCACCTTTCAGAGCTCAGGCTCTTCCAAATGAAGATATATCATTGCCCCTTAGTTTCCCTGGGACCTCGGTCTTAGGACCTTCCCAGTGGACACCAATGTCTATGTTCAAGGTGCTTACAGAGAAATGGCATAGTACTTGCATATAATCCTTGCCATTCTCCTGTATTTTAAACTTTTATGCGTGTTTATTTATTGTATATTTGTGGGGGTGCACAAACTATGACACACACATGTAGGTCAGAAGACAGCTCACAGCAGTTTGTGGTCTCTTTCCTCCATGCATGATCTGGTATCAGATTCACTTACCACTCACCGAGTTCTCTCGTTACTCCTCGTGTATTCTTTAAACCATCTCTAGGTTACTTATAACACTGCGGTGTAAATACCATGAGAATAGATCTTATACTTTATTATTTGGGGACTAATGTCAAAGGAAAGGGTATTGCTCAGTGTAAGCATAACTAAAAATATACCCTTTTCAGGGGCTGAGGAGATGACTCCGTGGGTAAAGTGAGCTTGTTCTGCAAGCATGAAGGCTTGAGTTCAAATATCCAGCATCCATGGGAAAATCTGGATATGACAGTGCGTGCCTGTAACTTTAACACTAGGGGGCAGAGACAGGCAGATCCTAGGAGCTCACTGTCCAGGCGGTCTATCCCGCATCCTGGTTCAGAGAGAATCCCTGCTCAAGACAGTAAGGCAAAGGGTGACAGAGGACACCCCACGTGATGTCCTGCTCTGGCTTCCGCATGTGCAATCCACACTCGCATATACATGCATGCATTACTCCCAGAGCCCCACATATAAACATACAGCAGACATTTTCAATATATGGTTGGTTGAATATGTGGCCAAGAAACCCACAGCTATGGAGGGCTGACTGAATGGCACCACTGCTTTTTAATTGTAACGAAGACCAGACGAGATTATGTTTTCGAATTATCATGTGAAACAGTCTGTAAGTGGTGGCTATAATTATAATTAGGATTACTATTTCACGCAAGGATGTCCTGACCACTGGTAAAGGGGCAAAACATAGGCTTGAGGGAAGTAAGTGGGTTCCTTATATTGAATCTGTGAATAGTTGTAGGGTCTCTCTTGGAGATTCAGAATCTTGAGGCAAAAGAGAGTAAATTCTCTATCCCACTTCTCCCCTCTGCAGTGCGTCTGCAGGAGTTGCTACGGAGGCCACCTTGCTTCCATCCACAGCTACAATGTCAACTTCCAAATTCAGCGCCTGGCCAGGAAGATCAACCAGTCCCACATCTGGATTGGAGGCATCCTCAAGGGCTGGGTAAGTTAGGCCCCAACTCAGTATAGAAAGCCTGAATTGTCTTGAGGGCTCATTTGCTGACTCTACAGTTAAGGTGTCCTTTAAATGATAGGCAAAGGATGCTGGAGTTGCCCTGCCCTGTCTTGGGAGAATTGATTACCAACACCTCTCACTAATTTTATTCAGCGACTTCAGGTTTGTGCTCAAAATTAACCATGGCAAATTTACACCAAGAAAATCGGCAATTGTTATCAGTTGCTGTCACTGCGACAAAACGCTTTGAGAGAACCAACTTATAAGGAAGAAAGGCTTATTTTGACATAGTTTCAGAGGCTTCAGCTTACACTCACTTGAAGGTGTTGGTTTGGACTTGACACACAGTATTTCATGGTGGGAGTGCATGGCAGGGACACAAAGAAGAAGAAAAGGGTTCACAGTCCTATGTTTCTCTCCCAGAGAATGCCCCAGATGACCTTTCTCTAAGTAACTCTAATTCTTAGAAGTTCTACCACTTCTAATTCTATCATGAGTTGGGGCACATGATCTTTAACACATGCTCTTCAGATCAAAATTAGAACATGTTACAGTAAGGGTTCCTTCTTCTCATCCTTCCCTAGGGTGTGTGTGTGTGTGTGTGTGTGTGTGTGTGTGTGTGTGTTTTCTGTATGTGGAGACCATAGTTCAATCTCAGGTGTCATTCCTTAGGAGCCATATAGCTTAATTTTTAAGACAGTCTCTCACTGGGACCTGATGCTCCCTGATCAGCTATTCTGGCTGACCATGAGTCCCAAAGGCATTCTTTTATCTTTGATACCTAACACTGATTACAAGTGTGAACCAGTATACCTGGATTTTTAATGTAAGTGCTAGAGATTGACCTCAGACAAGCCCTTTACCACTGAACCATCTCTTCAGTTCTCAGAGCTGGGTTTTGGAAACGTGTGATCTCACAAAGCTGAAGTGAGAAGGCAGATTCCAGGAGACTAAAGCAGGGTTCATCTCAGTTGTTTGCTAGTTGAGAAGCATTCTCAGCTGAAAAACAGGGATCTCCATTCCTAGTGGTAATTCCAAGATTGTGGATGAATGAAGTATACTTAGTAGTAGAGGAATGGTCCACAGGCCATCACCAGCAGCATCACTAGGTAGCTTGCTAGAATAGTAGGTCCCATGCCTGAGCTCCGAAATCTGAGTCAGGATGTAAATCAGATCTGTACAGTTGGGGAGAGCTGCCCTGTGTGGTGTCTGGGAGCAATGGTTATTTTTCCATTGCATCCTGTGCAAACACTGAGAGGTGGGTGGCGAGAGCAATTGCCTTCTTCCCAGGCAGGCAATGAGAGGGGTCCGCAGTGGTGTGCATCTTCCTGCCTTCTTTGGTTCTCTGATCCACTTTCTCTCTTCTCTAGTTCTTCTGGAAGAAGTTTCGGTGGACTGATGGGAGCTGCTGGGATTTTGGAAACTGGGCCCCAGGGCAGCCTGGGAATGGGGGAGGACACTGTGTGACTCTGTGCACCACAGGTGAGAGGAATGGGCTCCAGACAAGGAGATGCATTGATAGAGTAGAATTTTAGCTGCTCTTGCTTTGAGCTGCCTGGACACCCCTCTTTGAACCTACTGACTCTGTGTGGAGAACTCAGACTTGGTCTGTGGGGAGAGCTGAGGTATATAGACTTCTCAGGGCAAGACCAGATGATGGGATTGCGGGATAGCTTGTGGAGGAGGTTCCACCTGGGAACCCTGTACTTCCTCTGATTCTAGGTGGACAAACTGGAATGACTTAAGACCAGCAGATGTGATGTAAGGTGTGGATGTAGGCACTGGTGATGGCTGAGACAAAATGCGAGCTTCTGACTGCAGATGTGGGGATTACCATGTGTGGCAGATGTGAGGCACTTTAGTGCAGTGGCTGAATGCATGTTAGAGCAAGAGGAATGTGATTCACACACCACACTTGCTACCTACCAGCTATGATATAGCGAATTATTGGCACCAGTGTCCTCCGAAGAGGATGGTAGCCAGGGAAGGGTTTTTAAAGGTACCTGAAAAGGGTGGGATGGAGCTCAATGCAGAACCCTGCCGGTTTGTATCACTGTGTTCTCTGCTGCAGGGGGCCATTGGCGAAGAGCCTCATGTAAGAGCCGCCTGCCTTTCATATGTTCCTTCTAAGCTGGAGGAAGACCCTACCTTGGAACCTCCTGTCTCCACAGCCTTGGCTGCTGGTGTCCCGTCCTCTGGCATTCAGTTCTGTCTCCTGCCTCTCCTGGTCATAAAGTCAGCTTCCCCCTGCATTCCCTAAGTCTTCTTTCTTTCTTTTTTCCTTCCTGGAACTAACTTTGTAGACTTGGCTGGCTTCAAACTCACAGAGATCTGCCTGCCTCTGCTGGGATTAAAGGCATGTACCACCACTCACAACAAGTCTTGTTTCTTCGTTACCCTTTCTGGGCGACTCCTGCTTGTTGGAACAATCCTGTAACTTCAAGATGATGGGGGTAGGCGGCCTGCTGCAGGTGCGGGGCAGTGACAGAGCTTGGGGCTGTGGCGGCAGCACGGAGTCACCCAGAAGCTGAGCAATGCTTTCTGCAGTCCTTCACTGGGCTCTGATTTACCTTTCTACCCTGAGAGGAGAGCAAAGAAGATCTCTCTGGTGGGAGGCTGGTTCTGTCTTTGCTTGGTCCCATGATGAGGTGGGGTGACTTTCCAAAATGGAAGAGATGGGGCTTACTCAAGAGCTGGTATGCAATAATGTGATTGAATGTGGGCAACACTCGAGGGTATGGGGTAAAACCCTCTGTTATAGAAAGAGGTCTGTTCCTCTAGTGCGATGCTTTTCTGTCATCCAGAAATCGCTTCCATTACTCATTCTCCCAGGCCTCTTTTGGCTGTCCTGAGAGAGAGGTGGCCCTCTCCTCCCTTATCACCCACACTTTCTGTAGAGAGGCCATAATTTTGAAGGGATCTGTCCTCCACTCAGAAGCCAAAGGCAAGAGACTGGCAGCAGCACAGATGCCACCCTTAGTTCGATTACCTTGGGCCTCAGCAATCCTTCACTTCCCATTCTCAGACCTGGAGTGACGGAGGGAGTATCATTGTTGTCTTTAACTTTATGGCAACTAGGACCCTGGGCTAGCAGGATTTTGCAGCAAGGATTTAGAGTAGACAGAACAGGAAGTTCAGAGTTGAGATTGGGTATTGAAGGGTATAGAGAGAACTTCACATTGTACGTGTGTGTGTGCTTATGCACAATTTCTGTACATGTGCTTGTAAAGGTGCACACTTGTATTTTTGTGTATGCATAGGTGTGCATATCTGTGTGTGAGCCTATATAGGTGTGTGTGAATGTATGTGTTTGTACTAGTGTGTTATGTGCACACTTTTGCACCTCTCTGCATATTTATGGAAACTTGCCTATGGATGTGTTTGCCTGTGTAACTTTACACCTGTATGTACCAGAGTCTCTGCACATACACATATATATTTACCCGAGTCTTTAGTCATAGGTATGTAGGGGTGTCAGTGTGTGACTGAGTACAAGTTTATGTTTGTATATGCATCTGATGCAAAATGACTTAAGGCACAAAGATACTAGTATCTCACAAATTCTATCTCTAAGTTTACTGGATTTGAGGGAACAGAACAGGAATGGGCACCATCCTAGACAGTGGGTTGGGGAGAAACAGTAGAGATAAGCCCTTTGAATGTGGAGGTCTCTGACCATGGATGGATAAGCTCTAATACCAAAACACCTCACTGATGGTGGATGCTCAGGGTCTGTCTCAGTAGAGACTGTTGTCTCAGCTCCTAATCACAGCATAAAATCCTGTCAAGAGGTGGGGCTGCCTAGGGTCCCCACATGGAACACTGCAGTAAGTAGGCTCTTGACTCAATGCTTCTAAAGAGAAAGTGGAATTGCTGCAGGGGGTAAGAAGATGAGCACCAAGGAAGGCATTTCAGGGGTACACCAAGCTCCCCCTCCTTCCCTGACAGAGAACGGTGTCTCACAGAGGAGTCCAGAACCCTGGAGACCAGGGCCATAGGCAATGGTGTGTGTGTGTAGGGAAAGGCTCCTTCTCTACTAAGGCCTCCCTAGGGCACGCCTAGCTAGTCAGATGCTCCTCGAGTCTCTGGGCTGTTTCAGGGGATCGCAGTCTGCCCTTGTGTGGAAACTGTGCCAGTTGTGCAAAGTCTTCCACTCTTGCTTAGCTCTCAACTAAAAGGCGAATAATCTTGAGAGAAGACAGTCCCTAGAACCCTATCAATTACCATCTCCGGGAGGCTAGCTGGAAACTCGCTGAGAACAAGGTGTTGTGAGGAGGAACACAGAAGGGAAGGGTACGGGATGTCAGGGTATGGTGGGCATCTGGGGGAGGTAAGGGAAGTAGCAGCTGTGCCCACGAGTCTCGAGAGGACATTCCCGGTATTCCTCCAGTAAGTCGGCTCTGTAACTTGTTCCTGAGTCTGGCCAGTGCGGGTCTGGGCACCGGATGATTCTTACAGTTCTCCAGGTCTCCATTTCCCTGCTTCGGGGAGTCTGTGTTTCTCACCCTGTCTGGCTACTCCACAGAGATTTCACTAGTTACCTCAAGAGGATTTTGCTTAGTCCAAGTGACACATATGGATAAAAGATGAGTCAGCAAATTTCCTGACATCTCCCAACAGCTAGACCACAGAAGCCAGCATCTCGCACCCCAGCAGCACACATCTAGGTTCAGGTCAGCTCTACTTCCATTCCTTCATCTTACTCACTCTCGGTTTATTTTGTTAAATGGAGATTGGATTAGGCAACGCCTGCTGTACATCTAGCCCACAGCCTGCCAGTGGTGAGTCACCCCACCACTGAATGGCAGCTTGTAGGCTAAGCTGTGTAGCCTTGAGAGTGAACACAGCTTCCAGCTCTAGTTCTCAGGACCGTGTATTTGTTTTTCTACCAAACAAAAAGAGTAACAAGCCACAGGAACCTCAGCAGGTGTGGCCAGGGCCTGTGTGATAACGTCGGTGACGGCGCTGAGTAAACACAGGGTATCAGGTACAGCTTGCTGCTGTGATTTCTATTAGCCTACAGCTAGCACATGACAGTGGACTTGATTCAAAGGGAACAGAGAATGGGGCTTTCCACTTACTGGAAGGTTCAGAAGAGGCACAGGCACCTGGGGGAGCTTATCCTAGCCTGGGGTACAGTTCCCTTTCAGGACACAAGGTCTCCATCTCCTCCTGTGAACTCAGTCTCAGCTCAAAGGGGGCCTGTGTGCCTCCTTATTGGAGGATGTGTGTCCCTAACTGATGTCTCTGCTGGAGATGAAGCCTGGCCAGGTCTCTGGATGCTGGTGCCGGGGAGACGGTATCCCATTGCCCATAATGATGGGGGCTGTGAGCAAGCAGAGTGAGGGAAGGGTTGACGAACCTGGTGGGAAGACTCTCACCCCGTCTCCGCCTGGGGTGGGGATCATTGGGGTTAGGTCTGCCCAGGCATGCCTATAGAAGCCTCCCCACTATCCTTCCCCACAGCTCTCTGTACCTTCTGGCGAGGGGCCAGCCCTCTGTCTACATGTATGCTCATCTCTGCTAAGACCTCACCATCACGCCCATGTTCCCAGAGGAGATTGGCCCTGACACTAAAGGAAGCTTGTACCTCAGGCCCACTCACTAGCACGAACCTCTCTGATATCTAATTCTGTATTCCCCCAACTGGGGGATGGCACTTGCCTGTAAATCCCCAAACTGGGGAAAGGTTGAAGGAGGAGGGTTATAAAGCTGAGGCCACTCAGGGATATACAGCAAAGTCCGTTCATCAAAAACCAACCAACCAACCAACCAACCAACCAACCAAAAAAGCCCAAATCAAAACAAAAAAGCCTCTTTTCCCTAACCTTGCCCTGTGCAATTTAGAGCTTCCTCTCCATGTCCTCTTTTCTTTAAAAGCCCAGAGAGGAGGTGGGACATCTAAGCAATGGAGACAAGACGGACTTGGCTGCTGCTCAATAGCGTCCTTCTGTGAGCACAGGACACCCGAGCTCTCTCTTGGCCCCTATGATGACACAAGGCAAGCCCTTTTCCACTTCTGGCCTCAGAGTTTCTGATCTGTAAGCAAGAGGGTTGGACAGGATGGTTTCTGAGGCCCCATTAGCTCCTAGCTGATCACCGATTAGGATCACGTGGAACAGGCCTGGCTGACCTGACTGGGAGCTCACAGGGGACTGCATTTCACTATGCCTCCCACTTCTTCTCTGAGACAGTTTCAGGGGTCCCGGCTGGCCTCAAACTTACTGCATAGCCACAGATGAACTTTCCATCCTGTCTCCACCTCCTGAGTGCTAGGATTACAGGCTCACTACCATACGGTATGTATCGCGCTGGGCGTGGGTTCTAGGGCTTTCTTTGCACATCCTAGACAAATACTACCTACACAGCTACATCCTGAGCCCATACCTGAGGCTTTTCCAACAGTGCTTTAGACAAAGACAACTGATGTCCTGGGGCCTGGTGCTAGGCTCTACAACCACTTCTCAGCTGTCGTGTGTGTGTGTGTGTGTGTGTGTGTGTGTGTGCGAGTGTGTGTGTGTGTGTGCACGTGTGCGAGTGTGTGTGCGTGTGTGTGTGTTCTATCTGGATTCTGAAGCGAGGGTCCAGATGCGTGAGGGTCTAACTGGAGAAGGAAGGTCTGTTCCTCAGCTCGGGCTTGAGATACATGGTGAGGTAAGGAAAAGTTCACTGACAGTCATATCTCCTATTTCTTCTGAAGCTGGGCTTGGCCCGGTCAGAAATGAGAGTTTATACTCCATCTCACTGGGCTCCTCTAAAGTCAGGCCTGCATCCCAGAGAAAGCTCCCTGGTGACCTGGCCATGGGAAAGGCAGGAAAGGGCAACTGACACAAAGGGCAGATAACCAGGGAGCTCATTCTCCCCTCATGGATGTGGGCAAAGGACCTGGGTAGAACCCTCACTTTCTGGCCACATGGCCTGGGGCAAATGACTCTGTCTCCCTGACCCTTTGCTTCTCTTCAAAATCAAAGAATGGAAATCACCCTATAGGATTATTTTAGGACTCAATGAGATAATGTGTATGGAAGTGCCTGGTACTTGTAGGCCCCTATGGGTGTAACTATAGCAACCATTTTCTCTATCCTTTGGAAAGGGATGGATTCTGCTGTCCCAGGACCCTGGGAAGCAGAGGGGAGGCATGCAAGGGATAAATGCAAGACTCGGGTCTTAGCGGGAAGCACTACCTGTCTGCTGAACAGGGGGCCTGGGTACCTGGCTGTGGTCTTTGGGGTGAGCAGCAGAAATGAGAGCCCATCTCCTCCCCCCATCCCACCCCTTTCTGCCCAGACAGAGTGGCGTGTTGGAGGTTCTGCAGCCTACGGGTGAGCGTGGAGCCCTGGGAAGAGGCCCTAGTGGCCGATGGAGTAGGCCCCTGAGTCTGTGGACTGCTTTTCCACAGTGGCCTGGTCGCTGGGGAACACTGGGTTGGCAGATGCGGTGCCCTTCAGGGTTGTCTCGTTCACCTGCAAGCACAAGAGTTGGCAGTGTCACGTTTGACATCAGGCAGGATCTTCCAATGTGAGCCATTTGGAAGAATCAGAAGCCGGGGTGGGGTGGGGCTGCCTGGTCATTAGAGGAGGCAGTAAGTCTCTGAGAGCCCAGGACTTTGCATGCACCCCAAGGGAAAACTGCACCCAAGCCATTTCCAGGCAGCATCTATTCTGTCCCTGAGGTGGTACACATGACAGTAGGCGGTGGGCATGTTGATAATGACCCACAGAACCAGCCCCTCCCGATTTGTGCTAGTAAGGGAAGGGCTGGTGTCTTTGTGCAGGCTAGGTGAGCACCGAACCCCTGAGCTACACTCAGCCCAAAGTCCCCAAAGAGTCCATTCTTGGCCCAACCCTCTCTCGGACCCCGCAAACTAAAGGAGGCCCACTGAACTTCCATTCAAAATGCCCTGGCCAGTAAGCCATTGAGAGTCCGGGGTCTGGCAGCCTTCCTTGTCCTGCTTCCTTTGCTTTTCAGTCTCTTCCCCGACTCACCTCCTCAAACTTCCTGGCTTTGTAATGGTCAGCCCCTTTCAGAAAATTGAGCAGGATGATGTCACAGAGAACCGTGCCCTAGAGAGAGAGGCAGTGCAGGCTCGAGCAGCAGCTAGGAGATTGGCAGGGCTCAAATGGCTCCTGCGCGGCCCGGCTCTTGGCTAGGATGATCTATAGCAGCCGGTGAAGCGTTGTGGGGGAAGGGGTGTGAAGGGGCTGAGCCTTCCAGAGAGACCCGACTGTACAGCTCTCAGAATATTCCCAGAGGATCTTCAGGGTCCTCTAAGGCCCACCTTTCTAGCCACTGAGAAATACCCTTGGATCACAAGCACAAAGGGTGTGAAGGAAGAAACAGGGAGCTAGGGGAGGAGTCCTTGGGATGGGCCTTTGTTCCCACCTTTCCTAGTGACTGTTCCTCACTAAGGCATCCTATGACTGTGGAAACACGGAGTCTCTCCCTCCCTTCATGGTGAGAATCAGAAAAAAAAATTTTTTTTTAACGTGGAGTTTCTCCCTCCATTCATGGTGAGAATCAGATTTTTTTTTTTTAACATGGAGTTTCTCCCTCCCTCCATGGTGAGAAGCAAGAATTTTTTTTAAAAGATTATTATGTATACAGTGTTCTGCCTGCATGAATGCCTGTAGGCCCAAAGAGGGCACCAGATCTCATTACAGATAGCTGTGAGCCACCTTGTGGTTGCTGGGAATTTTTGATAAGACAGAACCACCTGAAAACGGGAAGGAAGTCTCTGGAGCCCCCCCCCCCCCCCCAGCCTCAGGAGGTAATGATGGGAGATGCCCAAATCAGAGCTACTTAGCAGCAGGTGTTGAAGGCCAGAAGGAGGGCTTAGCTGAGCTGTCTGATAGCCCCGGGCCTCACTTGGTCTGACTCCGGCTGCCCCGGAAGAGCCTGGGAAGACTGAACTTACCACTCCCACAGAGGTGAAGGCGGCCACGGAACTGATGATGGTAGGGATGATATTGAACTTGCCAGCCTGTACAGACAAAGAGCAAGGCCTGAAGATGGAGGGACCAGCAGGGAGGGGTGAGGGCTGAGGTTCATCTTGGGCTCCTGTGGAGCCTGAAGGGTTTGTGGAGGGTCAGACAGTTCCGCTCTGCATAGTATAGGGAGCTGACGGGGGATTTGGTCAGTTGACCAGTGGAAGGCCACCATCCCAAGAACCTCTTCAAGGCCCAAATGCAGGCATGGGAAACCTCCCCTGTGCCCCTCATCCGCTGGATCCCAGGACTCACGTTCCCGTACACCAGCACGTCAAAGCGGATGCCGAAAGCCTTCAGGAGGGTGCGGTACTCGCTGCCATTCTCCATTTTGTAGTACTTGGCAAACCTGGAGGCCAGGGGAGAAAATGGGTCTGTCTATGAGCTCTCCTGCCTGAACTCTCAGGGTTCTTTAGAGTTCGACAGCCAGTATCAAGCAGTTGATGGTTGGTAAAATGCCCGCCATAGTTCTTCCTGCACTCATATGGGGACTTCAACAGCAGATTCTGGGGTCGAAACCTAGAACTTACAGAATCAGCATCTTTGTTGGTGAGAACTTAGAATCTCCTTTTAAAATAATCTCCCTACAAGGTGTGTGTATGTGTGTGTGTGTATACCTATGAGTGTGTGTGTATACGTATGAGTGTATGTGTATGTGCGTACACCTATGAGTGTGTGTGTGTACCTATGAGTGTGTGTGTACCTATGAGTGTGTGTGTGTACCTATGAGTGTGTGTGTACACCTACGAGTGTGTGTGTGTGTGTATGTGTGTGTATATCTATGAGTGTGAATACAATGGTCTATGCGTGTGTGTAGCTTGAGGTCAACATCAGGTGTCTTCTCTGATTGCCTTCCACCTTATCTCTGAGACTGCTTCTCAGTAAACCTGGAGCTCCTCGGTCGGCTAGACGGGCTAGTTAGTGAGATCTTGGAAAGCCCCATCTCCATCTTTTCAGCACTGGGACTATGCACATGTGAGTGCTGGGGATGGAACCCAGGCTCTTATGTTTGAGCAGCAAGTACTCTACCCACTGAGATACCTCTGAAAACCTCTCTCCCCATGAGTTCTGTGTTTATGAAAGCTTGAACTACAGCTGACCACAACTGGACCCGGGCTTCTTTAGTTCTATTTGCTTGGGTATCACGGGACCCAACTGTAACCTACCTGGGCTCAAAGCCTGACTCCTATTACTGTGGACCAGCCATTTAACCTGTCTGAGACCCAGTGGCTGCAGCTTGAGGGGCAACAATAAAACAGTCCTGCTCTATGGGGTTGCCACGAGAATTGAAAACACATGGCCGTGTTCTAGAACATCCCTGGGCCCAGGAAACATATACTAGTGTTGGCCATGGCTGTCTCGCAGAAGAAGTATGTTCACACGAGAACTGAGAAAAGTGTTTCCTGACGCCTCACCTCATTCCACCCTTGCCTCCATCCCGTGGCAGAAGGAAATGATTTCATATTTTCCGAGGCTCTGCGAGGTTGAATGACTCACCCAGGATTTCCTACTGGAAACTCAGCGCTAGATCTGCCCAAGTCCTTTGCTTTGTCTTTTGCTCCTCAGTTCTGGCTGTTGGGTGCCTTGTGACGATCGCATTTCAGTCTCCCCACTGACTCAGCTGGTGCCCGCACAGAAGGGTGGTGTTCACACCCCAATTGGCAGACGCCTATGACAGGGGAGGGAGCTGCCTGTGGTCCGGCAGCTCGTAAGTGCTGGACTTGGGATTGGAATTGCACTGACTCCAAATCAAGTGCACTTCTCCCCATATGGCTCTGCCTACCACAGGCCAGGCTCTAACATCAGCACAGGGTAATCTCCCTGGGCAAAACTCCACTGCTGTGAAGAGGCCTGATGTCAGGACTCAGTGAAGTGATGAAAATGAAAGGACCCAGAAAGTTCTAGGTGAAAAGAAAAGCTGAAGCTGCGTTCAGTCAGCGCTGGCTTCTTCCTCTGAACGCAATGGTTGAGGCGGCCCCTCTCTCCCAGTGGCATTCGTGTGTGAAACTGTGCAGCCATGCAGCCGGAAGAAGGAAGTGTCAGCCTAAGTGGATCGGAGCTGGAGGACCACGGGCGTGGGAGGAAGGCATGGTGAAATGCTGTCCGCTGCTTTGGCTGCCTTTGGGGAACTCCGGACTCAGGCAGAAATGAGTCTGGATTCTACAGTCATCCCCTGTGAACAGTGTTCCTAGCCCTCAGGGTGTCAGCTTCAAGTCTATAAAGATGGGGTGCTCCTGTCCTGTCAAAGCTCTGCTAGCAGTAGCAGGTGAATACTCGCTGAGACCAACTCTGAGCACTACTGAAATCCCACAGCAGATATTCTGTCCGCTGGACATCATCTTTCTCTGCCCACATCTGGCCCAGGGAGCCTGTCTCTTGCCGCTTTTGCCAAGCAGTCTGCTCAGCCTTTATGTGGGTTAATCCAAAGGAAGAACAAACAGGAGAGCAGAAAGAATGGGGTGGTTAGTCTGCTCAGCCTTCAGCAGTGGCTTAGCTCCCATACAGGTCAAGGGCTGACAGAGCAGCGTCAGCTTCGTCTAGATTCTGTGCTTTTCTCCCTTTGCCTACCCATGCTAGCCCTGGGATAGCAGCTTCCACCAGCTGACAGTCTTGGTCCTTCACCATCTAGGTTGGCTCCTCTTGCCTCCGTGTGTACCCTTGTGCATTGTTACTTCATGGAATCACACCTTCTGAGGCCACCCACGTCCCCTCGAGATAACCACTCTAACTGTCCCCACTCTGCAGACAAGGAAGCTCAGGCCAGGTGCTTTTGTCACCAGGAAGCAGTACAGGAAAGCTCAGGCAGCAGGCTTCTGCCCCCACCCGTGCCTGGGCGTGACAGGTGCTGAACCCACCACCAAGTTAGGCTGAGAACTATTCAGTAGGAGCATCCTCGGGGGTGCCTAATGTGAGAACCCTGTGGGTTCTACAGTTGAAGGGGTAGAGTGAGGGAAGACGGGAGAGCTCTCCAAAGACTGAGACTCAGGGTAAAAGTGACAGTGACCCAAGGGGGTGCTGAATAAGTACAGCCCCTGAGCAGAAGAAAGGAAGGCTCGGAGGCCAAGAAAATGTGTGGGGAGTGAGACCATCTTTAACTCTGGTAAGTAATGTCTGGGTAGCAGTGGAGAGCTCTATTCAGGTCAAAGCAGAGCAGAGTGAATCCAAATGCAGCAGCAGGGGGATGATGGAACAGATTGAAGAAAGGGAAACAGTTCAAGATCCATGGGGAGACCCAAGAGCCTGGATCTTCAAGGAGACCTCCAGGGATATCTCAAAGAAGTGTTTGAAATGAACAGAAGATTTCAGACACCCATGGCTTTCAGGCGGCCTTGAGGATATGTAGATCAGACAGACCACGGTGTATAGATCAGACAGGCCACGGTGTGTAGATCAGACAAACCACGGCCATCTCAGCACCCACTATTTATAAAGCCCCATAAATACATGCAGAACATCTCAGTTAACTCATGAATAATGCACAGCTGTTGACCCATTTTACAGATGAGGGAGATGAACAGGTAACTTGCTTGAGTCAGGATCCTGATGACTTCTGAGTCTATGACTTGGAATCTCTGAACCATCTGTGTTCAGCTGGCTGTTAAGGAGGCAGAGCACCCTGGTGCAAAGTCCTGGAGTCCTTCTAAATTCTATATTCTCACATCACCGGAGGACTCAAGATCCTTGTCACCGAGATGCACTCATAGCAACCAGGCAGGGGCAGTGGGGATGAATCACGGGTGTTTGGGGAGGGCAAGGGTCGGGCCTGCGGTCCTGCAGCCTTCATGTGCAGCCCAAGGCTGCATCCATGACGAGAGCTCTGACATGGACTCAGAGAACAAGAAGTTGGCAGCCTGGGCTCCACTGGTTAAATTTATCCTGGGAAAAAATGTGAAGGGAACAGGGAGAAAAATCAGAGCGGACTTGGTTTTCTTCCAGCACCTGCCTTCCAAGAGGCAATGAGCGTGGTAAGATCATTATCTCACCAGCCACCCACCCTCAAGGAGGCTTGGCAGGGGAGGCTCCTCTTCCTGCTGGGAGGAATTGCAGAGCCCAGGGAGGAGGGCCTAGGCTCTGGACAGGACCAGACTCCGCTCCAGTGGAGCCAACGAAGATCACGGGAGCTGTCTCATACCTAAGGCGGGGGATGGTTCAGGGCACAGGGGCTTGGAGTATGTTCTCTCATGAGGCACGCTTGGACGTATTTCCCAGTCCCTTGTATCTAGCTGGTGCTCCATCACTGGCTCTTCTAATGGAATGAGGATGGACGTGAGGCTCGTTACCGTCGGCTACGATGGCTCAGTGCAGTGTACCTTCTGTGTTCTCCTTTTCCCCCATCTAATGACTAATTGTGAAGGAATCAGGGGAGATTGATGAGGCAATCATGGAGGAGACGAAGTCGAGATGGCAACAGGCTAAGGCCCAAAATAACTGCACAAAGCCCTCCAACATCACTGGCACACAATGTTAAGCTGCCGATGAGATGAGAGGGCTGTTTGTTATAGCAGTTATCAGTGCTTACTCTGACTGTTACATCCTCCCCACTAGCTTTATCACTGAGAAGACTGAGGCACAGTGAGAAGTGCTTTTCCAAAGGACAAAGAATAAGTTAGAGCTGACAAGGACTACACCAAATGGATCATTCCGAGGGATGAGCCCTCTAAGAAAACTTGAGATCTGAGGATGCTACTTGGCTCTTCTTAAACCAGCATTTTGTCCCTGACAAATCACTCAATCTCTCTGAGATTTTACCTTTTACTGACAGGGGGTGGGTTGTGGAGAGAATGAATTAAGAGAGCGGAGTGTCTTATCCTAAGGCCAGGATAAGGAATAGTATTGTTATTTGCCTTAATTCTTCTTGCTCCTAAAATATTAATATTAGGATATTACAATATTATTATTATATATTATATATTGTTATATATAATATATTATTATATAT